TCTCCCGCCTTGCTTCGGGTGAAATGCTTAAAAAAGTCTGGAGTATCTTTACCTGTCCACTTAGAACCAAGTCTCTTTTGAGGGATATACATATGACCGTTTTTTTTTGTTTTTTTTTTTCATGTTTTCTGCTATCATCCCTAATCTGAATCTCCACAACACATGTGGATCTGACGGAATCCTTGTAATAGTCCTTAAGAGGTAAGTAAACTCCCAAACTGACTTCTGTTCTCTCTAAACTGTATAATCAATGTCTTGCCGCCTTTTACTTTCCTGCTCTTTGGAAATCCTTATCTGTTGTTCCTGTCTTTAAGAACTCTTGTGAACCGTCCGACCCTTCCAACTTCCGGTCGGTTAGCCTTCTAGCTCTTTTTGGTAAAATACTAGAGACTATTGCTCAATTAGTTAAGCATCTCACATCGCTGGACCTTCTTTCAGACAAGCAATATGTCTTTCGTTTCTCTTAGTGAACGCCTGATGTATTGACGATTATTGCGGAAAGTGTCTATCAAGCTTTAGGTAATTATGGTGAAGTTCGGTCTGTTGCTTTGGACATCTGGGAAGCATTCGACCGTTTTTGAAGTTGAAAAGTTATGAGGTCTCCGGTCAAATTTCGAACTGATACTAGTCTTTTTTTATCAAATCATGAAATGAAATTTATCTTGAACGACCACACTTCTAGATCCGTATGTACTAATGCAAGGGTCACCAGGTTTCTATCCGTGGTCCTACACTGTTTTTAATATTCATTAACGATCTCCCCTATGGCATCAGCTCTCAAATTGGTATCTATGCTGATAACAAAACCATATACTCCTGCCTCGATAATAAATCTGAACGGTTCGACAAATTGAGGTTACTTTTGTATGATTCTCCCACACACAGAAACCCTTTCAGTTTTAGTGGGTTTTTTTTTGCCTTGCTAAGGGCGAATTCGATTTTTAAAAGAAACACTATCAATTCAATAACTCTTCATCAATTTTCCCCATTTTTCGTAGCAATTTCGTTAATTTAAAAAAAAAAATACCTCAATGGATGCAATAAGTAAACACTTTGGATGCAATCACTGGCGTAGCTAGAATGTGTACTGCACGAGGCGGAATGTGTACTGCACAGGGCGGAATGTGTGCCGCCCGAGGCAGAATGATGTGCCGCCCGAGGAACCGCTTGAGTTTACTGCCGCTTTCTTCCGCCACCGACAAAATACAATATATTGTACAGTGACTAATATCCTCTCTCTCTCTCTCTCTCTCTCGCTATAATATATATATATATATATATATATATATATATATATATATATATATAAAGATGAAAAATATTCTAAAAACCCTCGAAGTTCTATCAAGGAAATAACTATAACTTATATAATAACCAAAATGTATCTCCAACACACTGCAGTCCTGCAATATTAAAAGAAGCACTCTGTGTCCATTCACAGCAAGTTTCAAATTATATTATTAATCTGTTTACTATATTAGGTTAAATATATATATATGTATAATTTTAAAACAAACTAACAATACCAATTTAGTGATTGTTGTAGTTTTGGTCATCCGTATTTATATATTTTTTAATTTTAATTTTAGTACGCTTTTGTAATCAGTGGGGATAGTAGAATCATATGGTTGTTGACCTATGTCCGTGCGTAAATAAATTACTTTAGCTGTTTTAAACAAAATGTAATCTGTCCTTCTCACAAGAGTCGCTGAATTAATTTATTAATTTACTATATTTAAATTTATTACTTTTAATAGAAGAAAATGTTTTAAGCAAATATTGAATTTTTAAGAAATAATTAAATATGCAGTTTTCATTTTTTTTTATATAGTGACCGTCAGAATGTTTTAAAAATACCTAAAATGTTTACTTAAATACGTAAAAATGTTATTCTTTTTATTTACGGATTAGCTTTAGTTACTTTTGAAAGTTGTGTCAGTTCAAGGGAAGTAAATTTAACTTTGTATTAACTTATTAACAAAACTAAAGTTTTCAGGGCTGATTTGTATTTACAGAAGTTACCAGTTACTTAAATTTCATAAAAAAATTCAGATGTTTCCAAAATGTGAGGTGATTTTATATGAATTGACATTATAATGTAAGGGGCGTAATCGAGGTATAAATATCAGAGTTTTTCCCCTTTGAATTGAATTTGACAAGTTGTCGATTATTTTGGATTATTTTATTGTATTATATAACCTGATATAAATATCTAGCAATATATCATGTTTATCTAAATATCATACATTTTGCTGTTTCTGTTTTTAAAGTAGATTTAAATCAGCAATTATCTAAAAACAATTGTTGGTTTTGAAAGAGATCATCTCGCAAGAAAGAGATAACCAAAAAAGGTATTATTTGGAGTGTGCAAGAAATTTCAGGGATTTTAGTACGGTTCAAATCTTCTGTATTTACTCTCTACATTCAACAATGAATCTCTTTCATATAAGGACAAATAAAAAAAAATTAAATCTTTATTCTTGCACAAATTTTTCAATATCCATAAAATTAGATATAGTAATTGCAATAATATTAGTCATTTCCTTATGAGGAAATATTCGTTATTCATTGACCGACCAACCAGTACTATTGTCGGTTAGATTTATAAAATTTTCGTCTTCAAACATTTTTTCAAGGAAAATAGATCTCTATAGATGCAGTAGCTGTTATAGCTCTTTCCAATATTGATGGGTTTTTTCATTCCTAACCTTTTATTTGATGTAGCGTGGAATATCAACTTTATGATTATGTCATTATTTTTTCATAGAGTCTCATATGTTATTAACTTTAATTTTGTTTCTATTGAAAGTCCTCAGGTGATGTGGTTTCTGTACATTACAGTTTGTGTGTGTGCGCACGCGCGTGTGTGTGTGCGCACGCGCGTGTGTGTGTGCGCACGCGCGTGTGTGTGTGCGCACGCGCGTGTGTGTGTGCGCACGCGCGTGTGTGAGATTCTGTAGTGCCAGTACACAAGGTTCGAGGAAGTGTGATCTGCCCCAAAGCTAATTTTAAACATTGAATTAAGAAAGCTGTTGAACTGACAGTTCAGTTATTTCTGAAAAGGTTTGCAGCCCTGTATAACTTTCATTTGAAAGTCTCGTTCTGATTAGGCTATTTAAATATATAAATCGAGTTTTCAGGTTAATGTTCAGCTTTTTAGCAATATTAGATGAAACATGTAGGGACATTATTATTAATTAATAAAAAATATAATAATAATAATAATAATAATAATAGCATTTCGACTACGAGAAGATACGACATGCTTTTCGAGGCTCCGTAAAACGTGAAATGGATAAAGGATTTAATGTAAATATTTCAGCGTAAATTCTTTTCCCTAATGAATTTTAATGGTTGTTTTTTTTTTGTTTGTTTGTTTGTTTTTAATGAATTTTATGTAATTATTTATTTGCATTTTTATATTAATTTATATTTTTTCGTAATTTTGTGTTTATTTTGATTTATTTCATTCTCAGGAATATATGCTTCAACTTAAATATAACTCAACGTAAATATCCAACTGATTTTAATTTAAATCTGACTATAAATCATAATTTATTAAAATTGTTATAATTTTTTGGAAAAAAAAAAGCTATAATGAAAGCGATTATATTTCCTAAAATAAGTATTCGACGTATATGTAAATAAATATTAATTTGCTCATGTAAATTATATGTTAAATTGATGATATTTTCATTTGAAAAACCTGTTAAGTTATTATACCACTCCAAAGTGACCGAGAGGTTATTGTTTACATTTTTTTTACGCAAATCGAGATTTGTTTGATTTTGTCTTCTGTTTCCGGGATTTTTATGTTTCTCTTAACGGCGTCTTTGTTTGAAACACAAAAATGTCTCCTAGTAGCAGTCATTTAAGCAAATTGTTAAAAGACAATTACTGCAGACAGGAAGAAGAAATGAAGTAAAATGCAATAATAGTAATGATAATAATATTATATAATTTGTGTATATGTATGTTTATATATATATATATATATATATATATATACACATATATATACATATATACACACACACACACACATATATATATATATATATATATATATATATATATATATATATATATATATATATATATATATATATAACATTGACCGTTGTTGTCGAAAAGAAATTTTCAGATTTAGACATTATTTTATAATGTCAGCCATCCTTCAACAAACTGCTATCAAGAACCACTATTGTTTCACTCCGTCACCTTTTGGGTTTTATGTACTTTTTTTATTTTTTATTTATTATATTTTTTTCAAACGAAAGGAAAAAAGGAAGTAACGTTTCCCATGCAGCTTGCTTACAAACAGAATTGTTCATAACCATTTTGGTTCACACCAGGCAAAGTGCAATTTAAATGCACTGAAAGGAAGTTGCATCTTTGTAGTGAGTAAATTGTTTTTGCCTATATAAAAAAATGTATATATATATATATATATATATATATATATATATATATATATATATATATATTGATCCTCTCTTCCAATCTACTACTCCAGTTCAGAGAAGTCTGGAAAAATGTTTGTGTGTCTGTGTATGTACATGGAATAGTATAAATTAAAATTTTGATTAATTATATTTTAATTTTAGAGACATGTTACTAAGTTATATTATTTATTTGATAACCCTAATTTATAATGGGTATTAATTTTATCTTATTATTTTTTTTTTTACCTGATTCGGGCGGAGCATTGAACAGTTATTGGATTCATATTACTGACTAGACAACACAATCAGTTGGTTCAATGAAAGTTCAGATTATGAAACACTTTCACCATTTAAAATATCTTTTTTGAAAAAAGCTGAAATACAAGTATTATTGTGTAAACAACTCATATTTTTTAATCTTATACACGTATTTTTTTAATTAGATTAACCTAAAAGTACTTTTATAATATGCCAAAAATATTAATAAATCATATTCGCTTGAAAATATTTTTGGAAAATTTAAAATGTTGTTTATATAAAGAAAGCTGAAATCACAGAGTCACAGAGAGGTGGAAAGAAAGAGACGGAAAGAAAGAGATAGAAAGAGGGAGGTGGAAAGAGAGTGGTGGAAAGAGAGATGAAGTTGGAAACAGAGAAATGGAACGAGAGAGGTGGAAAGAAAATGGTGGAAAGAGACAGATGTGCTAAAGAAACTTAATCATTATGCCCCCGACGGCTGAGGAAGGCACGATTCGCAGACTTTTAGTATTAGATAGATAGATAGATAGATAGATAGATAGATAGATAGATAGATAGATAGATAGATGAACGGGATGGCCCACCATGGTATGGATATCCTCTGCTGCTCACGAACCAGCCCCCACGTCTGGGTAAATACGAACTAACTATAATGCTGGACCGCGATGTCCAGTGAGGAACCAGATTTGGATCGAAAAGTCTGCGACTGGGACAAAAAAGAAACAGTTTCTTCTGTCAAAACAAGATTTTCAAAGAAGCTGCCAAGTGTGACACTATTTAGGTCGAAAGAAAGAAAAAAAAAAGAAAAAAAAAAAAGGCGAGAATTAAATTTAGGTGATAAGAAGCCATCACGAACAGGACACTAAGCGATGTTATTTTTTTTAACAAAAGAAAAGTGGTAAAAATTTTATTTTCATTGTCGAGAAAAAAAAGATACTGGACTTAATCTGATTTATGTTACGGGGCGGAGAAAAAGATATAGCCAATCTGCCCATGGCAATGCCAAAAATTCCAGGCTGGTCAAATGGCCTGCGAGACAGAATTCTAAAGAGATAAAAATTAATTGGTTCGCGAAAGTTAATGTGTCTTTGGAAGAATGCAGGGTGCTAAGAGATAATACTGATTGTTCACGCACTGACCGAAACCAAAATGTCCGATTTGATCAACCGCAGAATTACAAAAAACAAAAGACTGAGCCATTGGCTATCTACGAAGATTTTTGAAAAAGGCATCTGTTTTGTGTCGGTCCTGGCTATGATAAGAAAATTATTTTATCGGGACGAAAAATTGGCTGTGTTTCGCCAGATGACCACCCACTTGAAAATTGGCGAAAATCTCGTTGACGAATTCCATATGAAATTCGATTGCGATTAAGGGACCACACTACGAAAGAAAAGAAAGAAAAGAAAAAAAAAAAAAAGGGAGATAACTTTTTTCCTTTGAGCAAGATTTTTAAAACCGAGGCCAGTCTAGCCACAATCACGCCGCTGAGCACCCATTGGCTGAATGGTGGCGTGAGCGCTAGGGAGAGGTAATCATGTGAAGTAGGAGGGGAGGCCTGTTGGCACCCATTGAAGGGATAGGTGTGAGATGCCACTATGAGAGAGAGGGGAAACCCGTTGACACCCTCTGACTGCATGGTGAGATACCAATATGAGAACAGAAGAAGGTGGGAAGACGAAAGACTTCCAAAAATGGAAAATAATAAATTTTCCTGGCCGAAAACAAAGAAGTGGATTGTGGATTTTGAATTATCAAGGAACCTCAAACCCCGATAAGCCCACCCCGGTTTTGGTCGGCGTCCATATAAGCAAAGTCGCAGCGAGTGAAAAGCATTTCCAGTTCCAGTCGAGAGGCAGTTCAGTGAACTTCGCAGTTAGAGTTGCACCCGCCTCGCAGAAACCTGACTGAAAGATTCCACGCAATTCCGAACTCAACTTCTAATCAAGAACAATTTATTTTTGAAGAACGACTTAGACTCACACCACCAAAACAAGTTTTACGAATATCGCCTGAAGATACACCAAGAACCAGTTTCTTAAAGAACAAACTACTTAAGATGTTAAGATTCGCCTAACAAACACAAAGTGTCACGAATCCATATAGCGGATTAGGAAGAAGATACAGTCCTGTATTCAGCAACCAGATATAAAATATTGTTATCCTTTTTTAACACATTTGAACTTTTCGAGTTATTATTTTATTTTTTTTGCATATACTTGTGTGGTATTACCTTTGTCCGACTCAGCTTGCATTACGGCCCGGCGACTGATTGATTTCGTCTACCTAAGATCAAATCACAACGTGGGTAGGTTAGACTAGAAATCAAAACAGTTACTTCGGTAACCAGACGTTGGAGGCGAGCTGGGAACGACAAGGCTGATACCGAATCTAACCAGATTCCCATCCGAATCAGCAAAGGGTTAGAACGTCACATTTGATGCCGCGACCAATACCAAGTCACATTGGTCGTGACGAGGCCAGGCAGACGTCACGATTGGCGCAGCGACCCGGTGGGGACGTCACACAAGAAACTATATCGACAACTGCGAAAAAATTAAATACAGATAAATGACCCAACCTAATATCCAGGAAGTCGAGGAGCTCTGGTGTAAGATGTGGGAAAACTACAAGATGCACAATCAAAGAGTTACATGGACGAAAACATTAGGAACAACACAGAGACAAAGTGTGCGAAAAATGTACGGATATCAATATTCCCAAAAGAATCACTGCCATCCACAAAACCAAAAACTGGAAAGCTCTAGGAATAGACCGAATAGACAATTTCTGGATAAAAACATCTCGTACCCACCAAGACCTTGCACGGGCATACAATGATATAATTATAAACATAAAAAATGTTACTCCCCAAATGGTTCAGAACACGAAAACTATATCACTCTAAAAATACCCTTTACTCTTTCGTGTCTGCACGTTTTCTTCATTTGGCCTTGGTCACATGACCCTTCCTGAAAAAAATTAAACATAAACAACAAAATTCTGTTTATTTTTTCTCGTTGCACAAACACTTATTTAAACAAAAAAAAAAGAATACCAGACAATCTTTTGTCCATTCTTGGTTACTAGTCTCCGGGACCCCAGGTCAGCGCCTCTGACAACGGTCTGAATACAAATCACTTCAATCCTTTCTTTTTGTTCTTCCTTTGTGGACTCCATCCAGATCATTTCTAACATCTCTGCCATCCATTATCTAACCAAACAATTTTTCCTTTCTCTTGAGACTACACGAATGTACATATAATTCCGAGAAAATCAAAAATCACACAATACATGTCAAAACCCCAAGACGTCCTTGCCCCATAAATTTTAAAAACACTATAATCCACACTTTTATTTTATAGCACACACAGTAAATTACCCCCCTCCCACTATATATTCACTCACAACAAGTTAATTTCTGACTATATCTCTGAGATGAGGTATTATGATTACTTGCATTATTACATTATTCGGACTGTTTTCCTGGTCATATTTTGCCATTTTTTCGTTTCACCACCGATCAGGTGATTAATTTTTTTTCATTTTTATTTCCTCCACTGGGGTAGAGGATTTCTAAGTTCCATGCGTCATGCCCTCTGGATGTCTTAGTTTTTCCTTTAACTCAAAAAGTTTGATTCAACTGCTGTGGCCTGTGTCCAACGAAAAATATGTGTCCTTGAAATTGTTAATGAATTTTGGGATTTATAAATAATATCAAAGCAAACACTTTTTACCAGTGTTCGTATTTCTATATTTTTAAAATATTTATTTTTACCAGAGCTTATATTGCAATTTCTGTTGTTATTCATTAAAATATAAACCTTATTACTGGTTCGTATATTTTATTGATATCTGTTTTCAAGGAGTTTTTTTTAGTGGAAGCATATATGTTGATTGCTCATTTTTTTTCGTATCTTTATTTTCTACATCATGTCTATTATTTCAAAGCCTCATCAAAAGGGGGCGGTGATCATTTTACAAAATTTTCTTCTTATGTAAATAAGCTATTTTGATATTTTTCTCTTTTTGATGTGTCTTACCACTTCACGATGTTCTTATAGTCGTAACTGAAAAAAGGCATTTTCTGGTTTTTCCTTCGTATTTCTTACCATAGCACAAAATTCACCAAGTAATAATTTAGTTATTCAACCAATGAAGGTAAAATAACACACACTTAAATTAAACAGAAGAATTTCACTCACTGTAACAAAAATGAACAAAACAACTATTTGTCAGTTAATTACGTTTAGCAAAATAATTCTAAATTTCAGACATTTGAATGCGCGCAAAACCAGAGTTTATAAATTTTTTCATGTTTTTAACTGTATACGGAAAATAATTTTGAGAATAAAATCACAAAATTTCGTCAGTATTTCCTTTTCAAATCAATTTTCTATTGCGTTAACGAACGCGAATTTAAACCCCTACGTGGCCCATGATCGGAATTCCTCAAAGGTCAGCATCTGGAAAATATATTTACTGGTCAAATTTCCTTCTCCAGAAAACTTTCTTTTCAAAGCGAAATTCTCATGGCCAAATTCTTCCACGAACAAAATAACAGACTGCCAGACATAACAATCATTAAAGCGTGCTAATGAAAATCAACAAACTTAAAACTTTAAGAGTTAGAAAAACAAACGAGCGAAAATTTCAAATGGAATTTTATATATATATCTAAACTTTTACAAAAGACAAAATAAAACAAAACATATCAGTTGTATAAAATGTTTCACAATTGTTGATATTGTCTTTTGATTAGTGCGTGGAACAATTGCGTGTCCATTTTGCCTTTTCTTCCATTTTTCTTTCTTCGTCCTTTGTTTCGTAACTTTTTTTTATGTCCATAAAACTTGTTCTGAACAACTTACATTTTTTGTATTTAAATTTTTCTCCCAAGATTTTTCATCATTACTTCTGCTTTGGGTTTGTTGTTTAGATGTGTGCTCCTGTGGCGGACATGAGACAGAACCTGGGACGAGCACAACTGATCGCGACTTTATTGTCCCTTTAAAAAAGAGCCCGTATTTGCTTAGCATGTAAAGCTACTGCAGTTGAAATGAGGAAAAAAAAAGCACTTATTTTTCTGCCGTAATCTGTCCTTGGCCAGATAACGTAAAAAAGAATGAGGGGGACTTTTTTTTTTATGCAAAAAAGATGCAATGCATTATGGGACATGGACAATGAATTATGGGACATGAAGACGCAAGGGATTATGGATATATGGACAAATATAAAAGCAACTATATTTTTCCCCAGTGGGGCGTTCTTCTTAAAAGTGACGTTCACGGTTGGCGGCAAGAACAGTCTGTTAGTGCGATTTTGAGACAGAACTCAAGAAGGAACGACTCAAGGTTGAAATACCAGCTGGGAGAGATTGAATTTACTCGCTGGTTGCTGTTTTCTTTATTCGCCACAGAGTGTTAGCTGTAAACATAATATCTTCATACTTACAAGTTTTTTCTGTCCTTATGTCTTAAATACTTTTTTCTCTTTTTTCATTCCTTATTCTACTATTTGAGCCCTCTATCTGTAAATGTTCTCCAAACTTTTCCACGTTGTGTTGTAACCCTCATTCTGCGCCCCC